AAAAAACCCAAAATAAAAATCCAAAACATAATGTGCTCCTCAACATCGAAGTGTTGCTAATAGTTGGGATAAATTTGAATTCTTCATTTTCCATAGTAGAAGCGAGAGGAATAATAGCATGGCTTCAAAAAAATTAAACATCAAACCATGAGTAGAATAATAAGTGGGTCTGAACCCAAGCCGCCCGATCCAAAAGCTCCCCAACTCATTAGAACGAGCAATAGTTGGGTGAACGTGTGAGAAAATAGTGTGAGCATGAAGAAGCACCACAAAAACAACCCTGAAGGTTCCATCTAAAGATCCCTCTCTACCCGGCAGAAGTAAAGCAGTCCTTTCCACCATCAAACGCAAAAGTCAGATATCAACCATGCAAAAATAAAATAAAGATATAGTTAAGCAAAGTAGCATATAGGATAAAGGTGGCAGTAAAAGCGAGAAAGTATGTAAAAAAAAGTAGAAACAAACGTAATCATAGCAAAAGCGAGCAATGAATAAAGATAAACCAAGCAACCAAAAAACTAACCACACACATAAGGAACATCAAGAGTGTCCCCATTCACCAAATTATGCAACATATGATTCAACATAGTAACAATGAAGAAACTCCTCCAAACCAAAAGGAGTTAAAGCCCAACTCCAAATACTGTCACCCCACGGGAGAGATGGGAAATGATGAAGAGCAGCATATAGAGTTTTAGTGATAGAACCATTCATTTCCATCTTAAATAAAGGAATATCTTTCTTCTACAGATTAAAGGAGATCAGAGAGATAAGTTGGGCATTATCATAACACACCAACCAAGTTAGAAGGGGAACATTCCAAACATCTTGAGACCAAGTTTGATAAACAAGAAGATTATAGTGTACAGGGTCCTCCAATAGAAGAGGAACAGGAGACCAACGGTCTTGCCAAAAGGACAGTTGGACATGCCCTAACTCCCAAAACCTATACTCCTTAGCCCAATCTCTAATACACAGAAGCTGCTTCCACACCCTGGAGTCTCCAACCCGCCAAATGACTAAGGAAGGGATGACATAAAGACAATATTTTCCATGCATGTAAACCACCCACAGAGATTCCCCTTTCCTGAAGCTAAGCCAAAATTTGAAATAATTAATATCAGCGATATGATGCAATTGTTTAAAACCCAATCCTCCTGCATAAAGAGGTTTACAAACTTTCTTCCAAGATAGCCACCTCCTAGAAGAGTGGCCACCAGCCCATAAGAAAATGTTAAAGCATCATTCGAGGGCAACTTGTTATTAAGGACTTGCAGTGCATACAAAGGCAAACTTTGCAGAATACTCTTAAGCACGATAATTATTCCCCCAAAGGAAAGGGAATTGTGTTTCCAATCTTGAATTTTCTTGCGGACTTTCTCCACCGCCTCATCCAATTGTGTCTTCTTTCTCCTCCCCTTGAGAAGATTGACCCCCAAATATTTTAAAGGAAAAGCAAAAAGTGAAAATCCCGTATAACCTGCGGCCCAATTAGCCTTATCCCTACTGATAGTTTTACCCACATAAATATCACATTTATTAGAGTTGAGGGTAAGACCAGAAATCAACTAAAATTTGTCTAATAGATCATCAATTTTCTTAATATTAGATTTACTTGCGTTGGAGAATAGGATCACATCATCAGCTTAAGCCAAATGGGTGACAATAACCTTAGACTTATGGGCAAATTGGAGATTAGGGAAACAATTGGAAAGGTCATTAAACAAGCGGGAGAAATAATAAAAAACTAGATAAAAGTAGTATGAGACAAATGATCACCCTGCTTGATCCCTCTTTCAGCAGTAAAAAACCCATATGAGCTACCATTAACCAAGATGCTATACTTATTGCAGTGGAGCCAACTGACAATAATATGACAGAAATCTATAGTAAACCCCCTAGCTTGAAAAATCTTGAGAATGAAATCCCAATTAAGAGAATCATAAGCTTTCCTGATGTCCAATTTAGTCACCAAATAGCCACCCCAACATTTTTTTATCAATATCATAGATTAATTCCCGCGCCAGCATAATGTTATCAGTGATACCACGACCTTGGATAAAAGCGAATTAGTTCGGGGATATAAGATGGTGTAAATGAGGTTGAAGTTGTTTGACCAAGAGTTTACTAATAACTTTATTGAGGATCAAAGTGAGAGTAATAGGTCTAAAATGCTCCCATTGAGATTTTTGAGTCGATTTGGGAATAAGAACTAAAGAAGCAATAGAGAAATAGTTTCTAGGGGGTTCAACCCTGAAAAAAATTTGAATGACATTAACAACCTCCTCCATAACGATATGCCAACATTTAATGTAGAAATCTGAAGTGAAGCCATCTGAACGAGGGCCTTTATTGATATTAATGTCCGATAACACTGCAAAGATTTCCTCCGTGGGTAGGGATACCACAAAGGTCCCCAACTCTTTGGTGTACTGCCTGGTATCATTAAAAAATGTTCTTTAATGGTGCTTGTGGTCTCCTGACTTTCCGAGATTTTAGAGAAATAAATAATAACACTATCCCCCAAGTCTTGATTTCCAGTAATCCAAATGCCCTGGTCATTCTTAATTCTAACAATGGTGTTATTAGACCTCCGTTGTTTAACGCAAGCATGAAAATATTTTATGTTACGATCACCTTGTGAAAAGTGTATGTCACCAACTTTTTGGTGCAAAAGCTCTTCTTCAGCAGCAAAAGCCTCCAACAATTCCTTATGTGCATTCTGAAGTTGGGCTATAGTCACATCAGTAGATTCATCAACAACTTGCAAAGTCCCAATCTTCAGCCTTGGTGACCCTGGCATGAACATCACCAAAAACCTCCCAATTCCAATATCTCAATGCATTAACAACTTTTTTATGCAACTTCCAAAGAATAAACCATGCACTATATATATATATATATATATTAAATTAAACTAGATATTATCTTCCCATGTTAACGACCGACAGTACACCTTAATTAAGATCAATTAAGATCATATTGAAATTGCCTAATTTTGAGCACTGAAGCTTAGAGGGCATTCACCTAGTTTGGATATACCAAGCATAGAGACTTTCCCAATTCAAAGGATTGACCTCATAGGGCATTTAACCACTTCAAGGGATTCAAATCTTATGGGAACCCACTCAGTTTACACGACTTAACCTCAAATAACACTTGCTCGATTTAAAGGACTCAAACTTGGTGGGAGTTCATTCATTTTAGAATGCATTTGCTTGCCTTGGAGACATTCATGCGGCAATGGAAAAATCCAACATTTTTAAAAGTGGTGAATCTATTTCTTCATATCATATGATCTTCAAAACATCACTAAGGTCGAAATTAATGTGCATTTTGATTATTATGTCCACTTGTTTGTAATAGTTATGTTTTATATTTATTATTTAGATTAGTATTCCGTTTCACCTGTGACACCAACAATCTTATAAATACATGATTAAAAGTGCTATTTTGATGGATGAGAGAATCACACTTTGAAATTCCTAATATGAAGTAATAAATCCCTCAAAGTCTCTTTCTCTGTTTTTTGCTCACTAAGTTTTCGGTTCTTAGGAATTTGATAAGGTTTTCTAAATTCTATAAGTATGCTTTGGACTTTGCCACAAGTAGATTTGGATTGAACATTATTGATTTCAATCCAAATATAACTTAAATTTAATTCCATAATTTCATAAATGTTTTTAAATTAAATATTAACGTATTTATATTGTTATTATTTGTCTATTAAGTTTCTCTCATAAATACCAAATTCTTCTCTATTGTATCGAGCCCAATTATAATACATAGCTACTGAAGGGCTCCTTTTTTAGTCTAGATTATGAATTTATTATTAAAATGGTTAGTTTTTCTAATAATTAACTTCATTATTCTATTGGCTACTATTGTTAGTTTTATTTGATTCAACTACATTAATGTTATATTATGCACAATAAATATATTATATATTTTTATTAATTATGAGTTATTTTATACTACTCAAACAAATATTTAAATTTAAAAAAAATATTTAAATATTAAAGGCTTATTTGAAATCAATTTTGTTTTGTACTTTTTGTTAATTGTTTTTAATTTTATTTTATTTTAAAAAAAATAATTTATTTAGTTTATTTTTTTAACTTTTAAAGCAAATTAAGTTTTGAAAATACAAAAAAAAACTCTTATTAGTTTTTTGGGTTTTAAAAAATAATAATGTCAATTTATTATATCAAATATATTTTATTTGAAATTAAAATATATTGAAAATAAAAAAAAATAGAAAATAAAAGTAAGAGGTTTTTACATGACAATCGCCTATTTATTGAATACAATATTTTAACCACCAAAATTTTAAATAAATAACCTAACAACCCAAAACTTTAAATATAACATTTTAATCACCTCAAACTTTCACTGAATGCTTTCAGCGTGTGTAAAGGAGAGTGGTAATTATGAAAAAAATTGTTTCAAAGTTATTCTTACGACCTCTCTGACAACAGATTAGATTTAACTTATTAAGATTTAGTAAACCCGTTAAATCCAGATTTACTAAATCCTATCCAAAAACTTTCTGGCAATAGATTTAGTAAATCCTATGAATCTAGTAAAAGTGTTCGACAAAATTTAACCCATCACATTGTTCTCACCTGCATTCTTATCTTTCATGCGTTACAAATACCGCAAATCCGCCGATTGGCGAGATTTAGTAAATCCCGAATTTACGGCTGAAATCCAAATTTATGCTTCAGTTTGTCCAAAATGGCCGTTTGGCAAGATTTAACCCACATCCAACTTAAATCCCGTGATAGATTCATTTCTCTTAAAGCTTGAGCGGTTAAAATGGTATATTCATTATTTTAAATGAGTGGTATGTGAAAGGCCCCTAAAATAATCTCAAAATGTCTCTCGAATCTTAATTTAGTATAAAACAAAATTTTACAGATTTAATAGAATAAAAAAGAATTAGCAATCTTTTATCTTAAAAGATCTGTCCTTTTGTCGGCCCGGAAGTCCACACAACAGGCTCACCATGAGCTGTGGGGCGATAAGGGCAAGTGTGAGGACTAGAATATTAGAATCCAGGTGCTTCTCGGGTCTCCATCCTCCTCAAAAGCATAGAAATTTTATGCAGACACAAAGAGAGAAGAGTTTTTACTCTTTCATTCTTTGTTCCATTTACAGTGGCTTCGGGATCGCTTCCCACAGACCTTGAAGCCTAGAGTTCTGCAGAGATTCCGGCTTCAGCTTTCCGTTACTGTTGGTGTGTTTCTTTTTAACTGTTTCAGAAAGGAAGAAGTGATTTTGGTTTAACACATCTCATACAATCGGCGGAAGGTTCTGAAATTTCATCGAAATCTGTGAAGTCCGTTGAAATTTGACTAGTTCTTCCACGATGAAAATTTATCTTCTGGCTGGTGCGGGGTTTGTCCGGTCAATTTATCCAGGTTTGAAGAAATGTAGTGTTTTTTGGATCGTAGAACCGCTTTTGATTTAATTTTGTGTTGTGTGATCGGAGTTGAGATCTTAGAATGTTCTTCGGTGTCTCAAAATTATTCTGGCGGGCTAATTTTCGTCTCAAGATTTTGAAATTGGCTTACTGCTTCAATTGCTGTGGTTTGGAGTTGGCATTACGGCCACTCTAAGTATAAGGTAATGGCTATCAGCTCTCACTCGGGCTTTTCTTTATCTGCTATGGATAAGATTGATTATTTGTATAATTCTTGCTATCTTCTTCCCAGGTATCGAGGTGGAGACATATGAGCGTTCTTGTAATACTTGTCTGTCTGCTTTTTTCCACTGGATTTAACAAGTGATGGGGTGTTTGCATTCCAAAGGATGCATTGGCCATATGCCTGATTCACCGAGACAAGCAGTCAAATCAAAAGATGGATTGAAGGCAACAACGATTGAATCTGCTCATTCTTTAGGTTCTTCAGGTGGGGAAGATGGTGCTGATGGAGGTCGGTTACATGAGCTGGGTACTACTAGGGACTCTGATGTGGGGATAAATCGGCTTTCGAGGGTTTCGTCACAATTTCTTCCTCCTGAAGGGTCTAAGGCAGTCAGAGTTCCTCTAGGGAATTATGAGTTGCGGTATTCATTTCTTTCTCAAAGAGGGTTCTATCCAGAGGCATTGGATAAACCAAATCAAGATAGTTTTTGCATTCACACTCCATTTGGTGCAAATCCTGATGATCACTTCTTTGGTGTTTTTGATGGACACGGAGAGTATGGTGCTCAGTGCTCACAGTTTGTCAAACGGAGATTATGTGAAAATTTGCTCAGGAACAGCCGGCTTCAAGTTGATGTTATTGAAGCAATCTATGCAGCATTCTTGGCAACAAATTCACAATTGCATGCTGATGTGTTGGATGATAGCATGAGTGGTACAACAGCTGTTACAATTTTAGTTCGGGGCAGAACAATTTATGTTGCAAATGCAGGAGATTCTAGGGCAGTTATTGCAGAGAGAAGAGGTAAAGAAATAGTTGCCATGGACCTCTCAATTGATCAGACTCCTTTTCGAAGTGATGAGCTTGAGAGGGTTAAGCACTGTGGTGCAAGGGTTCTGACGTTGGATCAGATAGAAGGGCTGAAGGATCCAGATGTGAAGTGTTGGGGAACGGAAGAAGATGATGATGGGGACCCCCCAAGATTATGGGTGCAAAGTGGAATGTATCCTGGCACAGCTTTCACAAGGAGTATTGGAGATTCCATTGCTGAATCTATTGGTGTGGTTGCTTCCCCTGAGATTTATACTTTGGAGCTCACACATAACCACCTTTTTTTTGTAATTGCTAGCGATGGAGTGTTTGAGTTTCTCTCCAGTCAAACTGTAGTTGAGATGGTAATTATGATCAAAGGATCTTTTTCCAGCTATGCTTATGCGTATCCAAACACTTCCATGAAGCTTACTTTTAAACCACAAATAATCTTTCTTTGCTCATTAGACATTGTTAAATTAGTTATTTGCTTTAGTTATAATTTGAATTTTTTATCTGCAAAACAGTTAAGTGGATAGATAAAGATTTGGTTGATTTGCATATATATTATTGAAAAATATAAAATGCACCTGTGCTTCTAATTACTAGTTTCAACAAATTATGCCAACCTTCACTTAGTTGCTCATTGAAAGTTTCTCCAGCGGACAGCTCAAGGTCATTCCCCTCAGATCTTCTGTTTAATTAGTAGTTCTATATGTTTTGGTAGATTTCTCTTAATTTAATCTTAAGGTTGCTCCTCTCAGATTTAATGTCTAATTAGTAGTTAAAGATGTTGTGCCAGATTTCTCTTAATTGCTTGCTACAAGTTCCTTCAATTGAAAGATGTTATGTTGTGAAGAATATATGGAGCTCCAATTGGAGTTTTGAGATTTTTTTTTCTCCTGGACAGTGTAGCATACGTGCTTAACATATGGAAATGTTGGTGATCTCTCAGATTTTGGTAATCATAGTGAATAGTCGAATTAATGGCACACCATTATTTTTTATTTTCTCCATGACATTTAATAGTCATTAAATACTCTTTGAGATGAAGTCATGCTTTTGGCTGCTTTCAGTCTTCTTTGAGTCGTCTTGCTTACATATGATGTTTTCTTAACTCTCAGGTAGCAAAGTTTAAGGATCCTCATGATGCATGCGCCGCAATTGTTGCTGAATCATATCGACTTTGGCTACAATATGAAACACGTACTGATGACATTACAATTATAGTTGTGCATATTAATGGGCTAAATGATGTATGGCCTTGTTTCTCTCATTCATTTGGGTAGTCATTCATTATTATCAGCGCACAAGTTGATTTTTCATTGACAGAGTGATGATTTGACTTCCTGAACAGGCTGAGGTTGTTCAAAATGCACTTGATGCACCTTCAAAACCTTTTCCGCAAGTTATGGAAGAAACAGGATCCAAATCTCCCTTTCCTGTAACTTCAAATTCCAAAAATCATCGTGTGAGGCATGAGCTGTCTCGGACACGGTTGAAGGCAATTGAGAGTTCCCTTGAGAATGATCATGATTGGTTTCCTCCTTCTTTATCACATAGGAGAACTTGGGAAGAAGAAGTAATTATGTATTGCTAGCTATATCTAAGCTTAGGTCTATCTGCACTTTTGCAAGTTTGTGATCCAATTGAGAAATAACTATTTGATTTTCATATGCCTTCTGATGATTTTCAGGCGCACATTGAAAGAGTTATCCGTGATCATTTTCTTTTCAGAAGGCTAACTGACTCCCAATTCCACGTTTTGCTGGATTGTATGAAAAGAGTGGAAGTTAAGCCTGGGGATGTGGTCGTTGAAAAGGTAGGTCTCATATGATTGGCTTTCATTGAATGGAAATAAAACTTGTTTGCACTTTATCCAACTTATGACTCACTGGCTTTCAGATTGTGGCTAAATATAACTTGTCAAATGATGAAATGCAGGGTGGAGAGGGCGACTGCTTTTATGTTGTTACAAATGGCGAGTTTGAAGTCCTTGCTAATCAGGTATATACCATCATTTCCATTATCACAATTATTTATCCCACCTATTTAAGAAAAGCTTATAATTTCGTCTTCTTATTTATTCTTCTTGTGTTTTGCAGAAGCTTTTAATTATTTTTTTACAATTTTTATATGTGAATTCTAGCAATGTATGTACCGTTGAGTTTTATTGTTCATTAATTTTGTCCACAATAAAAAGTTTTATTTTAATTTTGTCCCGAAAAAAATTAATTATTCATTAATTTTGTTTTTTGAATTCCATAGCCTTTTATTTTCAATATTCTCTTGATAAATGGTCATTTCATCGTCAAAAAATGGGCAGTGCAGTGGCAAAAATGCATTAAATTAAAGTTTTTTTATTTTTAAGAATTATGTGGTTAAGGAAAATAGTTGGTGAAAGTGTGTATTTACATGAAAAATTATCTAAGAATCAGTTTGGGACAACTTTTTGTCTACATTGTGTTTTAGACCGCCACTACAACTCTACGTTAGGACTTACTTTTTGTTGTTTTATTTTTTTAAATTTTTTTGATGGAAAATTATTTTTTGCAACCAAATTCGTTACAGTGCAGTGGTTGTATTAAAATGACTATCTAACATTTATTTATAATTCTCAGCACAACTTTCTAAAATGTTATTTTCTTCATCACAATTTTACAATCACATTTACGAAAAAACTACAAGTGCCTGAAGCATACCCAAAAACTTTCCCTTTGGCATTGAAAATTGAAAATGCTACTAGTTACACATCAATCAACCCCTCAAGTCAAATAGAGATGTATTAGAGACAGACTGTTCATTCCTTTCCTGATTTATATTCATTAGAATCGAGTGGACAATTATGACCAGTTTGGGGATGTAATTTTTTATAAAGGTGATTATAAAGTTTTGGTAAGGTAAGCTACTTTCTAGAAATTTGTGAGTGAGAATTATTTATATCTTTTGAAGCCAGACAAAATTTTCTTATACCAACCATACTTTAATAGATCTAATGGCAAAAAAGTAGTTCCTTACATGAAATTTTTCAAACAATAACAAAAAAGTAGTTCCTAAAAAAAACTGTGATGACGATTTGAAATGCAAGGTAGGTAGAAAGCTATCCCAAAAAAATCCATTGTTATCCTAAGTTATGACCAAACAAACTTTTATTTTCTAATATTCTAAGATTCATTAACTAATAGGACTTTGAAAGCATATATAAAGAAATCAAAAATTAAAATACATTCTTTTAAGCAACTTCAATATAAACTCATACATGCCAAAAGTTTTTTAAATTACCCCTCAAAATTGCACAATCAATAGTTATAAAGATAACTAGATTTTCTGATTACGAATTCAACTGCTCTTTTCCTTTCCCTAAAAACTATCCTTAATAATCGGATGAGCTTTACTCCCAATGAGATAAATAATAGAAAAATAAGATTCAAACATAAAAGAAAAAACTAACATGCATGTTGGTTTATGACTAAATGAGTTATTTTATTTAATCACAACATACTTATTATAATAGTAATATTAAATATAAATGCTTTGCTATTGAATAACAACAACAACAACAATAACACCAAAACCTTTATCCCACTAAGTGGGGTCAGCTACATGAATCCTTTTTCTCCATTGCGTCCTTTTAGTGTCATATTTTCATTTAATTCTAATAAATTAAGATAATTTTTTATACAATATACCCAAGTCATCCTAGGTCCACCTCTGTCTTTCTTAGCATAAGTCGAATCTAAAACATCTACTCTTCTAGTCAGATCATCAGATGGTCGACATTTAATTTGACCAAACCATCTAAGACGACTCTCTCTAATTTTGTCCATCACTGGAGCTACACCAACCCTATCACGAATATATTCATTTCGCATTTTCTCTCTAAGTGTAAAACCACTCATCCACCTAATCATTCTCATCTCAACAACAGTTAACTTAGTTTATGCTTCTCTTTTAAAGTCCAACATTCAGCTCCATACAACATTGCAGGTCTCACCACCATCTTATAAATTCCTTTCAGTGTAAGCGGTACTTTTTCTATCACAAAATAGGCCCAAAGCATTCCTACACTTCAACCAAGCAACTTGAATTCTACTAATGACATCCTTATCAATATCACCATCACTTTGAACAATAGACCCGAGATACTAAAGTGTTCACACTTTTTAATAATGTTGGAGATTTTTGCTGGGCTTGTTTTTTTTTTATAGACCTAAGGGGTTTGGCTACTATAAGACTTATATTTATTAGATTCTAGGATATAGAAATATCGAGATAAATAATATCATTAAATTTATTATCAAGTTGGGAATTCTCCCTTTGAATATGAGTTTGAGTGAAGAAGTTGTGTTTCATTAGAAGTGACATCCATCGGCATAAGAAATTTTTTGGTGGATGGATGATAACACTTGTACCTACTTTTTATGGCAGAATATCCAATGAATACATATTGAGAGCTCTTCGATCAAAGTTTTCTCTATGGTATTTATATATGAATATAAGCAATGCATTTTAAAATTTTAATAGGGATCTTTTAGAATTTGTTAATAGAAAAAATTTCTACCAAATAACATAGTGTTCATTTTGAATCATTTATTCTAGTGGGCATTCAATTAATTAAGTTGTTATTAGAGCAGCTTCTTCGCAATTTTATTTTGGCATTTGATTATGTAGAAGTGACCTAGCCATCTTTAAAAAGAAATAATTTTTCCTTTTTGCCACTTCATTTTTACTGGCGAGTATCAATGCATAAAGATTTGTGATAATTCCCTCTCTCTAGAAGGATGCTAATGAGTGATTATAATATTCACGAGCATTATCATTCTAGAAAAAAATTATATTAGAGTTAAATTGATTCTTTTTTATGACAATAGTTCTAACACCAATTTTTTGTTTAATTAAATATATGCACGTCGCTTGAGTATATTTATTAATAAACATGACAGAACCCGTGACTCCAAATATATTGAGGATTTTCGAGGCTCTTTAGATATAAGAATACTAAATGACTAGAATCTGGTGTTACTTTTAGGAAGCAAAATACGATGATGTTTAGTAAATTTGTAGGTTTGACTATCAAAATGTTTAATGTCTATATTTATGGAAAGAGAATTTTTAGAAAAAGTATGTCCTAATCTATAATAGTGTCTCTAGATGATGTCAGTGGTGAGAGAGGTGAAAGGGTATGTGTACATCAAAATATGATTGCACGAATATCAAGAAAATTCAATAGATCTCACTTGTGAACAACGAATGATTGCATCAGGATAGTTGAAAGATGAAAACACCAGACATTGTTTCTTTTGGTCGAAACTACTAGCTGACCAAACGAAAGCACAAATTGAACGAAAGAATATGTAGCATCTAATCCGAGGGACAAATTTGTAACTAGCTCCCTCAACTGATTCTGGGACTCTTCACAAAGATCTCCAAAGATCACCTTGCTGAATACCTTTCTAATCTTTTAATAAGACGTCTTGTCCAAGGTGAGCTGCCCGCCAAATTACAATTAGACGCCCTCTGCCTGACGTTTTAAGTTCACTCTTACGCCAGGAGGTTCTCTATCGGGATTTCATTAAGAGGGTCGACCGATGAACTTTTAGCTGAGAGGATGTGTCGGCCAACTAAAGGTTTTCAGCCGACCAAATGTTTTCAACTGATTGAGCAACAAGATTAACAGACCATTGAATTTCTTTCTTAAACAGTTATGAATACAAAATGGTGCTAACATCAGTTACAAATATGAAAAGGTGTCGGAGTCAGTAACAAATGTGAGGTGTCATAATAACTTATAGCGTCTCCATTAAAATGTGGACGGACATGTAATTTTATAATTAACACCCTCGGGATCTATAAATAAGGGGTCATTCCTCAATAAAGAACTATTGAATTTGCTCACTCAAAACTTATGTTATTGTGCTCTTAATACTCTTTTAATCTCCCTCTCTATCTCTCTCGTCCGTCCAATGCTCTATATACATATTTGGATTCAACAGTATGATAGCTAATCGCAATCTTCAAGAAATTATAACCAAACATTTTCTCTAGTTCACCCATTCATCTTTTTAGCGGTGAGATACTGATTAATACAATAATTGGTTTAAAAAATAAATTTACAGTTATGATCTTCGATAAATGTGGATAAATAAAATGTTTACTGTGTGGTGTGGGACATGTAATATATTATTAAATATTAAGTTGAGAGAAATTAAAATATTTCCTTGTCCCGCAACGGTTGTTAAAGATCAATTTACAATTTTTATTTTTCTATCATCGGGAGAGGATTTGTAAATTTAAATATATTGTCAATGTTTGTTATGTGGCCAATAACCATTGACTCTATGATCCGAGAAGTGTAAGAACTAGTGAGGCACGGAATGCATAAAAATTAGAATCATAATTTTTTGAGTAAGATAGTTTTATCTTGGTGGTTTTTCTTAAGAATTGAGAATATTCTTTAATTTGTGAATCTTTTTTGAATTGATTCATTGTAGCACCACTAGACAGGCTTGCCCTATTAATTATTATTATTATTATTTCTATGTTTTTCATGATTTATATATCACTATATGATTAGGAATGAAATTCATGGAAGAGGTAGTTGATGGAGGTTTTAGAGCATTGTGGATGCTTGTGGAGAAGTGGTGCCATTTATTGTGGAGTTGGGCTGGTGATTGGTCACTTGTAGCCTGTGATTTGAACCACTTGTGAACGTTCCTTAGAATGTGGAAGTGTCTTTGATGTGTCGATGGAGAATATATAGTGGATTTTCGACTGAAGGATTGAGGTAGTAATTTTATTTGGTGTTTTTGGACTGGTGATAGGTCACTTGTAGCTTGTGTTTTTTTCTTACTGATTTAGAAAAAGCTTATGATAAGGTTCCAAAGAGTTCTTTGGAGAGTTCTAGAAAACAGAAGAGTTGATATGACTTTTATTCAAGTCATTAAACATATATATACTAGAGTTGTTACTTGTGTTCGAACAGAAGGAGGATTGACCAAGCATTTTCCTATTTCAGTTGGATTACATCAAGGATCGGTTTTAAGCTCATTTCTTGTTTCCTTTAGTCATGGATGCTCTTACTGGACGTATACTTGAGGATGTACCATTGTGTATACTTTTTCCTAATGATATCCTTCTTGTGGATAAGACTAGAGGAGTATTTTGGGAAAAAAACTTGAATTATGGAGATTTACAATGGAGTCTAAAGGCCTTCACTTGAGTAGATCTAAAACTGAATACATTGAATGTAATTTTAGGAGTAGTAGCTCTAGTGGCAGAGGTGTAACTATGGGTGATCAAATCATTAAAAGACGTGAACGTTTTGAATATCTCGGGTCTATTGTTCAAAGTAATTTTGGGTGTTTTGTTCAAAGTGATTCTGATATTGATGGTGATGTTATTTGTAGAATTCAGGTTGGTTGGATGAAGTGGAGGGATGCAGCAGGCCTATTGTGTGATAGTAAACTACCTGTTAGACTCAAAGGAAAATTTTATAAGATGGTGGTGAGACCCGCAATGCTTTATGGTGCATAATATTTGCCTTTAAAAGAGAAGTATAAAACAAAGTTAGGTGTTGCTGAGAAGAGAATGCTTAGGTGGATGAGTGGCTTGACACTTAGAGCCTAAATGCGAAACTAATCTATCCGTGAAATGGTTGGTGTAGCTCAAGTTGCAGATAGGATTAGAGGGGATCATCTTAGATAGTTTGGCCACATTAAACGTCAACCATCTGATGATCCGATTAGAATAGTAGATGTTTAGATTCAACTTATCCTAAGAAAAACAGAGGTAGACCTAAAAAGACTTGGACATATTTTATAAAAAATGATCTTATTCTATTAGAATTAAATGAAAATATGACGCTCAATAGGACACAATGGAGAAAAATGATTCATGTAGCCGACCCTTCTTAGTGGGATAAAGGCTTGTTGTTGTTGTTTTTGTTGTAAAGAATGTAAAAGAACCCAATGGAATAATTTGAGGTTTGGAAGGCTGAGATCCAATGGCGCTTGAAATCTACTTTTGGGTAGTGAGGTTTTGGGCTGATATCTATCGGCTGATTTTGTGTGGTGCTTAAGAGGGTATTAGATGGGGATATATGGGTATATGTATTCTATGAATACCCGAGGATGCTAAGAAAATGATGGAAGAGTTCTAGCGGCACTGATGTGAAAGTTTTAGTATGTGAAATCAAAGGAAGTTAATATGGCTAGATTGAAATAAACTTTGGCTAGCTACTTTGAATTGGGAAGAATAAGGTAAGAAATTGTTGAAACTTAGAGAGAAGTTTCAGAAAAGTTGAGGGATATGTCAGAAAGCAACTAACACAAAGAAACCACATAAAATAAAAGGAAAATGATAATGATAAACTTTTCATTAAAGAGGTGTTGTTCCCAGTAATCATCTAACCTTTCCAAATTGGAAGAATGACTTGTCCAATCTGATTTTTATTTCATGAAAAGCTTCTTATTTAATAGATTTCTTGATATTTAGAAGTTTTATATAAGATGAATATAAAATAACACAATAAATTCAAAGCTTTTGTCAAACTAATGAATGCATCTTGGAACTAGTTGTAGTCTCCCTTTATAACTCCAGTTTAGAAATTCAAGGATTGACTCAGTTGAATGATTTTCTTGGAAGATGAAACTTGATGCTGGAAACTACAAAAATGGGGATGGGCATGCTTGCTTTAATTTGGGCTTTAGATGAATTGATATATGGGGTGGTATTGATGATGTGGCATAGTTGTCTTCTACTTGGACTAAAAGACCAGCTCACATACAAATTAACATTTTTACTCCGAATCCATCTCAACTAACTTTCAATAAGCTTTAATGAATGTTCAACATAAAAAAATTAAAATAATAATTTAAATGTTGTTATCACCTAGCAAACAACTTGTTATTGTCTTGTACTACACTTGCCTTTTATTACCTGTTCTCATTTATTTTGATCCTTCATTGAATTGATTTTTCTACTTTGGAGGGATAACCTCCCTGCATTTCTTTACTTGGCTGACCATTTGCAGGGCCCATGCATATGCATGCTTCATGATTTCTTAGTTCCTTCTACAATAATAAAATCCATCTAATATCATTCGTAACTACTAAAGTTTACATATTATAATCATAAACTTCAATTTACAGCAATGATAATTCTGCATTTCATTAGCCACACAGAATAAAATACTATTGAGAGAGAAAATAAATTTGGATCTTTTTTTGTTGTGCTGAATCACTTAAAATCCCTCTTCGCTGATAAAAAAAACCTATAGAAGTTGCCAACATTAGATATCAGAAGAAACTGAAAATGATATAGATATTCACCAAAGTCTAGTCACAACAACAAGGTAATCCCCACATCCAACCTACTTAGGATATAAAAAGAATCTACAACTGGAGCACAAAAAGTATGTTCTCAAGAGACCACGGGTCCTGAACAGATAAGATTGCAAAAATCAACCTGCTTTACAGTCTACCGGTTTGCAGCATAGGTCTGCCACGTGCTGTACAGAGTAAGTTGGCTCCATGCTATTAACCTGAGACAACAAGAGGGTCCTATCTTCTTCTTGTTTTGGGAGAACCATGGGTTTAGCTGATTTGATAGAAACTGCTAGAAGTCGCAGGAACTAAGAGCCATTGAAAAGATTGATCAGCAAAGGCCTACTGTGAGGTTTCATGAGTAATATTCTTGATTAATAAGATTTGTATGAAAATATAATAACGATATTTAGTCTTTTAAGCGTGAAATCACTAATGCTTTACAATTTTTGAAAGATACATATGAGAGTCAAGAGCACTACATGACTTTTTTTTATCAACTGTTTGCTGTGTCCGAATCTCAAGTTATTGGCTACTTATTGACTTATTTATGTGTAACATCAGTTCTGTAACTTAACATTGGAACTAATTATTGTTAATGAGCTAAACGGTTTATTCATTCAATTTAGTGAGTTAGTGCAGTTTGTTAGCATGTTTTGATTAGCAGAACCTACCCAACTCTTACCTGTCAAAATTTGTTTACAATAGGACGAAGGGATGGAGGTTGTCACCAAAGTTCTGCACCGATATACAGCTGAAAAGCTATCATCCTTTGGGGAGCTAGCTCTAATGTGAGATATCTAATTGTTTTATTATTTTTTTATTTCTAATATTTGATTGTATCATTTCTATGTTAGTGCACCTTATGCACATATTGGAATCTCCATGGATATCTAGCACAATGTTTTAGTTATTTTCCAGCTTATTTCTATCTATTGATGATGTATATTTATTTTAAGTAGTGAGTAGAGTCAAAGTGCATTAAACTATTTTGGTGAGAAAGGCAAAGTTCTTAAAGGTATCATTTTGATGAAAAAGTCTATCTGTTCTAATGCTCAGAAGGATCACATCACTTCATTTTTTGTAAGCACAACAATTTGTCAAACAGTATTTTACCTATTGAACATAACCGCATGTTGGTAAGAGGTAAAAGATTCATGAAAACATGTGTTTTCCCATAAAATACATGAAAAACATTGAAAAAAATATAAGAGGGCTGAATCACTTTTCTATATTAATGTACAGCTATTTAAAGAGTTTTAACTAGGGACAAAAAAGATAGCTAATCTCCCTAATTAAGGAGAAATATACTATTCAACTAACTACCCTAATATAGAAGAAAATAAATAGTGATTCCTAAGATCACTCATACAATTCATAAATTTCTAAATATAGAGTATAATGTCGGTCAACTTTTTCGATTGATTAGATTTATTTGAAAAATATGATATATGAAAATAATTTTTGAGATTTAATTTAAGTATAAAAGATATATAGTTTGAGTTTTAAAAGTAGTATGTTTTAATTTTTGAAAAATGAGACCAAATGGATCTCATTAGTCTGATAGTTTGCATAATCGTGCCTGATACCGCGAATACTACACCTTCCCGAGAGATAAGTGTAGACCTCAGCGATAGACCCAATCTTGCAAACTAAGAGATTTATGACATCCGTTTGGTCTGCGAACCTTTTATATATGACCGACAAATTCCCCTATTTAATACAAAGATTAAATAAGGTTTATTTTACCTGGGTTCCAAGTTCCCTATAGAGGCAAGCCCCTATAGTTAATTACATC